TCTATCCATCGATTATTCCACTGCCCTCGATATGCCTGGTGTGGTTGACTATGTGGACAGGCAAGATGTGCCGTCAGCCTCAGCTAATCGGTTTGGCGCACCTAATTTCGATGAGCTTTTCTTTGCCGAAGGCGAAGTACATACAGCCGGTCAACCCATTGCCATGATCCTCGCCACTTCGGCCTCCAAAGCCCAAGAAGCAGCCAGAGCTGTCAAGATAGAATACGAGGATTTGCCAGCCATCTTGACGATTGAGGAGGCCATCCAGAACGACAGCTTTCATCCATTCTTTCGCGAGATCAAGACGGGCGATGTGGAAGAAGCTTTCAAGAACTGTGATTATGTCTTTACGGGCACTGCGCGGATGGGTGGCCAAGAGCACTTTTATCTGGAAACCAATGCAACTCTGGTCGTTCCTAGCCCCGAAGATGGAGCAATGGAGGTTTTCTCTAGCACGCAGAATCCAAATGAGGCGTGAGTGTCTTATTTTCTAGTTCTAATCATGTTTGTGGGATTTTTACAGCTGACTCTTCTTATCTACAGGCAAGCATTCGCTGCTCGTATCTGCGATGTACCAGCAAACAAAGTTGTCGTCCGTGTTAAGCGATTAGGAGGCGGCTTCGGTGGCAAAGAGACTCGATCTATCCCTCTCAGCTGTGCCGTGGCTCTCGCTGCCAAGAAGACCAAGAGACCAGTTCGCTGCATGTTGACTCGGGAAGAGGACATGATTACCATGGGCCAGAGGCACCCTTTCTTGGGCAAATACAAGATTGGTTTCAACAAAGATGGAAAGATTCAGGCGCTTGATGTCGACATCTTCAACAACGGTGGATGGACCTTTGATCTCAGCGCTGCAGTACTTGAGCGAGCAATGGCACACGTTGACGGGTGCTACCGCATTCCTAATGCCTTTGTCCGAGGCCGCATCTGCAAAACAAACACCGTTTCCAATACGGCGTTCCGCGGCTTCGGTGGCCCCCAGGGCATGTTCATCATGGAGACGTGCATGGAGGAGTGCGCAGACCGTTTGGGCATTCCCATTGACCGCCTGCGGGAAATCAACTTTTACGAGCCCCTTGGCCTGACGCACTTTAACCAGGCTGTTACAGATTGGCATGTCCCGCTCATGTACAGGCAGGTTCAGGAAGAAAACAACTATGCAGAGCGCAAAGCGGCCGTAACCAAATTCAACGAGAGCCACAAGTGGCGTAAAAGAGGCATGGCCTTGATTCCTACCAAGTTTGGAATTTCTTTCACGGCCCTTTTCCTCAACCAGGCGGGGGCTCTGGTACACATCTATCACGATGGTTCCATCCTGGTGGCTCATGGAGGCACTGAAATGGGCCAAGGACTTCACACCAAGATGACTCAGATTGCTGCACAAGCCCTACAGGTCCCTCTGGATAATGTCCACATCTCAGAGACGGCCACCAACACGGTTGCCAATGCTTCTTCAACAGCTGCATCAGCTTCTTCCGACTTGAACGGGTATGCCATTTTCAACGCGTGCAAGCAACTCAATGAGCGGCTCGCCCCTTACAGAGAAAAGCTTGGTCCGCAGGCCACGATGAAGGAGCTGGCACATGCTGCCTACTTTGACCGCGTCAACCTGTCTGCTCAGGGCTTCTACAAGACCCCAGAGATTGGGTACACCTGGGGAGAGAACAAGGGCAAGCTGTTCTTTTACTTTACGCAAGGGGTGGCGCTCTCCGAGGTAGAAATCGACGTGCTGACCGGCACGTGGACCTGCCTCCGCGCAGACATCAAGATGGACGTTGGCCACTCCATCAACCCGGCCATCGACTACGGCCAGATCCAGGGCGCCTTCATGCAGGGCCTCGGGCTCTTCACCATGGAAGAGTCCCTATGGCTAAGAAACGGCGCCATGGCCGGCAATCTCTTCACGCGCGGCCCCGGCGCGTACAAGATCCCCGGCTTCCGCGACATCCCCCAGGAGTTCAACGTCACGCTGCTCAAGGACGTTGAGTGGAAAGATTTGCGGACGATCCAGCGCAGCAGAGGCGTGGGCGAGCCTCCGCTATTCATGGGCAGTTCCGTCTTCTTTGCCATTCGAGACGCGCTCAAGGCCGCGCGGAGAGACGCCGGTATCGAGGCCAAAGTCGGAGGAGGAGAAGATGATGATGGCGAACAAGGGCTGCTGAGGCTGGAGAGTCCTGCTACGCCTGAGAGGATCAGATTGATGTGCGAGGATGAGATTATGAGAAAGGCCCGTGTGGCTCCCAAGGAGGGAGAGAAGAGCTTCTTCGTGGCGATATGAGGTGCATTACATCACTTGACCATCTACTTATGATGTGCATATGCACTCAATCACTCTGCAGGTATCATCAGCTGGCAACGATTTACTCTGATTGGCCATGTTGTTTTTCCCTGCCCTTCTTGGCATGCTCATCACTCGGCCATGATTCGAGGGCCATTATCGTCTCTTATTATGCCAATCATGTACGCAGCGACCATGTGATGTATGTATTAGCGCTAGGATCATTTGATATTAGAATTCCACTGTTTCTTGCTTCGCAATTCAAAATTAGAAAATCTCTTGTAAGAACACTGCCAAATATAGAAATCCTAGCCCCAGGCTTTTTATCCCGCGATTCTCCGCCACGGTTTGTTTAAAAACAGAAGCGTTATGTAATATCGAGGCGCGCCAACCCGGAAAATTCCGATGCGATGGCGAAAATTGCTGAAGTGAGTTGCCGGATTAGAAGATTATCGGCTGCGGATAGCCTGCTATAGCCGTTGAGACATTTCATTCAATCTTGACTGTTTACTATTCTAATTGATATGTTGCCATTCTGTATCCTCATTTTCTTTTTTTCATGGCGGGATTTACATAAAACTTGACTATGCTATTGCTACTTACATAAATTACTCTTTACGTCACAGGCAGAGACCATGCACTACTGGAGCGGACAGGTTTAATGTCCATCTCTGGAGCCCCCCCTTGCAATAATATTCGACCCATGCCTGTAGTTCCCGAGGTCCTGCATGTGGTTCTTTTGCATGGTTTGGTTTCAATATGTATGTCATGGCTGTAGCTCGGCACGAGCGAAGCGACGACATCCGACCCGTGAGGCCGGCGGCTGGCTTGGGGCCGGGAAAATGGGAACGGGAAGTGCAATTTAGCACAGAGTAGCGCTTTCATAGCCTCCACTGCTTAGAACGGACTGACAGCACAGCTTTTCCCTCGGTAGGATGGCGACTGGGACTTGTTTATGTTTCTCATCCATGGCTGCCGGAGATCTGTGTTAGTAGCATCTCTATTTTATAGTGGGTGTCGTGCTTTAAGTGAGAGTCGAGTTGCAAGAACAGATGAAGAGAAAAACCTTAATTGCGGTGCCCAATGAGGATGCGGGCATTAGACATGACAGGGACCAACAACCAGGAAAAAAAAAATTCATCAATATCGCGCTGGATGTTCCCTGTGTGTGTGTTGTGCAGCTCAGCGGTTGGGCGACACCGAAGCCCCCCCTCCACTACGAACTACGGCGGCTACAGGTAGGTTGCCTGCCCATTACAGGCCCTGTCTAGGGATTGCCGTACAGCGGCCCAGCAGCACTCAGCAGCACTCAAGGCCCCGGGCAGTTAGCGCAGCGCAGGTACTGCGCCCATTTCTTTAGCGCCAAGCCCCGCGAGACGAAAAGCCTTCGGTGCCAGGTCCCCACCGGGAGAGGGAGGATTATGGGGGGGGCCGCCCAGCTGAACAAGGCCCGGGTGCCTCAACGCAGCTGCGGTTTTGCGCTTCCTGCTGATGCGGTTCTTGCTCTCGTGCTCAACTTAAATCTCGGTTTGCTGGCCAAACTCTGCGTCTGCATCCCATTCCTGCCTGGAAAAAGGGCCGCGATCCTGATTCTCGAAACACCGGCCGAACGAGACGAACGCTTTGTCTGCGCCCTCCGAAGACCGGCCAATACGGACCGGCTGGCGGTTGGACCTCACACGACCTCTTTTTGACTATTTGGTTTCTTTGCCTGTGTCTTTACGTCTGTTTCCTCTTGTCCTCGTGCGTTGACGGGAGAGACCCTGCGTCGCCTTCTTTGGGAGAAAAGGGCTGGCCGCACAGCTTCGGGCAATGCTGGTTGCGCCATCGGGACCGCTTCGAAACGACAGTTGCGGCGTCCTGCTCTGCCTCCCTCCTGTTCGATGATCTGCAGTCTTGTCGTGTTTGCGTAACCCTTCCGAGGCGGATAGGTCCAATGGGAGCCCGAGCCGTCGGGAGATGAGAGAGAAGAGATTCCGAGGGAACAAAGACACAGGACAATAAGTCAATAGAAGAAGAAAAAAGGGTATACACAAACGAGGGCAACACCTTGAGAGAGCACAGCAGCAATGAGCGAGCGCAAGGCTGCCGGTACCACGGCCACGGCGTCGGGTGCCATGGATGCCAAGGGAGGCGGAAACAAGGTGGTGGAGCGAAGCAGGCTGGCTGCTAAAGGCGATGCGGTCGAGCGCGTCAAGGATAAGGATCGCAATGCGGCTGGAGGCGCAGGCAAGTCTCCCAAGAAGAGACGCAAGGTGAACCACGGTACGCAACATGTTGCCTTCCCACACCCCCTCTTTTTGAGTTTCCAGTTATCGTGATGTTTCCCGGAGAGCTTGACAAGGAGGGCCAGCTGAACGCGACGGTTGGCTCGCTGCCTCTTTCTCTTCTCCTCCTCCACACACCCTCAGTTCGGCCGATTTCATGTGGCTGGCGACCCTGGAGGCGCAAAGATCGAGCACGTGTATCTGTGTATTGCAACATGGGCTAACAAGTAGCTGTGTGTCTCTGCCTACTGCCTCTGCAGCTTGCGTGTATTGTCGCAGATCTGTAAGTCTGTCCCGCTTTGGAAGTAGAGGAGACGGTGATGTGATGTGATGCCATTTGCATGTGAAAGCATGACTGGCATTTCATCTGCGTCTCCTCTTCACCTGTAATGAAAAGATATGGAAAGGAGACAAGAAGGATTGTGGCTAACTGATTGGAACTTGGATGCGAGTAGCACATGACATGCGATCTCGTAAGTACATCCCCTGCATAAACCTCCGCAGAGGGGTCGTCTTTTTTGTTTCCCTCTCTCTCTCTCCTCCAATCTGCCACGGCAGGCTTCATGAGATTATTATTCGAGACTCCCTCTGCATATCGGACTTTCTACTGGCCAAAATCTTTGATTCGACGTGCTAACGCCCTGCATAGGAGCGCCCGTGTACCAGATGCATCAAGAGGAATATTGGTCATCTCTGCCACGATGAGCCCCGCGAATCAGAGCCAAAGAAAAAGACGGCCACCGCCAAAACCGCCTCAACAGCGTCCGTAGATGACTCCGACACCATGTCACCGTCTGAAATGGGCCACAGCTCCATCTCCAGCGCCATGGGCCCACCCCCAGCTTTCGATGGCGCCAGGCAGAGAGCAAATTCGGGCATCGGGGCTGGAGGCGTGCTTGGACAAGGCAATCCATTGTCTCTTGTGCAACACGACGCTTCGTCGGGCTTGGAATCCAGCGCGCTGAACCGCAATGGTAACGCGAATCAATGTAAGCACTGCCAGAAGGAGATTGGAACCCTCCCTGGTTCCCCCTTTAATTGCTTTTAGGACTCGTTCCTTTGTTCTTTTTTCCGTTCTTTATCAAAATGCCTGCCCAGTCTCTAGCCCAGTTTCTTTTGTCACGAGCATGACGATGTTTTGGGTAGCTAACAGCGAAGCAGTTGCGGGCTTCTCGGATGCTTGGCTTACGGCGCAGAATTACCACGATATGAATACCTATAACCCCAATTATATGATTGGACCCGAGGTCACTCACGAGTTTAACCTACTCAACGACTTTCTGCACAACAGCCTCCTCGATGAGAGCAATCTTGCCTCGAACGAAGCTCAGAATAGCGCAGCCTTCAATCGGCCAGGAGGGGCGTCAGAGATGATTGGTGCCTTCAATAGTAACAACGATTTAGCAGCAGGTGGTCCCATACAAGCACAGCATATGCGAGGATCCATGCTACCTCCCCCAAACGTCGATGATAAGGCTGCGGCGAGGTCTAATAAGGACAAGACACGAGAATACTACCTCCAGGCTGCCGACCCTTCTGGAAACGACAACCCAGAAGAGCGCATGTCTCGCGTGCTCAAGGCCAAGTACGACGCCGGCTTACTCAAACCATTTAACTATATCAATGGTTATGCAAAGTTGGGTAAATACTTGGACGGTCATATCGCGCCCTCTTCGAAACAAAAGATTTTGCGAACAATCAACCAGTTTCGTCCCAAATTCAGAGAAAAGGCACAGGGTTTGACAGACATGCAGCTTGTGTACGTAGAGATGTGGTTTGAGAAACAGCTGATGGACTATGACCGGGTCTTTGCGAGCATGGCAGTGCCAGCCTGCTGCTGGAGACGAACGGGGGAGATTTTTAGGGGAAACAAAGAGATGGCGGAGCTGATTAACGTGCCAGTCGATCAGTTGCGAGATGTCAGTGCCTCCCCCCCCCCCCTTTTCCCCCTTGTCCTGAGAAGGCTTCTACTAGCTACGAGTAGTAAACAATACTAATCAGGTCGTTTAGGGCAAGATTGCGCTACATGAGATACTTACAGAAGAGTCCATGGTGCGATATTGGGAAGAGTTTGGCACCATCGCGTTTGATCCGGCGCATGATACGTTGTTGACGGCGTGCTCTCTGAAGAACCCTAGTGATTCGTCAGATCACCCTATAATCAAGTGTTGCTTTTCGTTTTCGATACGCCGTGATGAGCATAAGCTGTGAGTCACCTACAAACACTGCAGAATGAGCAAAAAGCAAGAAGCTGATTAATTTTTTTTCCCCTTTTCTCATAGGCCCGCACTGATTGTTGGAAACTTCTTGCCGCACGATCCTCCTGTATCGTAAATTCTTTACCTTTCGGTTAATGAATCACTTTATTGCTGCTGTTAGGCTTTATTACGCTCGGACGAGAAAAGGGCGACTTATTGGACATGGTATGGGCCGGTTTATATACGTAGCCGGCAAAGGTTGGGAAAAAAGGGAGCTTTTTTTAGTCACGGATTTCCTGGGCATGACTGACGGCGCAAAACTTTTAATGTTTTATCGTGTGCTTATCCCCCTTCTTTTCTATTATCCTTTTCTTTTTCGACTTATTTCAATGTTGCTTCATGGGGCGTTTAGATTCCCAGAAATTGTTGGAGAGAATTATTTTGAAGCAGTCGTTGATCGTGTTGATGCTGATGGACAGAGAGGGGTTTTTCCTTTTGGGTTCGCTAGAGTTTCCAGGTACATAACCTACCTTATTTGAACATTACGGTAGTTTTTCTAATTGAATAATTGCTGCTGCTGATGAGAGCGCGCTGAGGACTACGGGAATTGCTGAAGAGGTACTTGGATTTGAGTAACTCATCGTTGGAGCACCTTCCTTCCCGTGAGTGAAATGTGTTGGGGAAGGTGCGGTGCTCCTGACTTGCGCATCGTCATTTCCAAGCGACCCAGCTTCTTCGCCTTCTCCTCCACTTTCTCTTTCTCTCTCTTCTGCACTTCTCCTCTTCTTCTCTCCCTACAGCTGTCTATGCGATAATTCGTCCATGATTGATATTCTCCTTTCTGACACTGCTGTGACGCAAGGCAGAGCGACTCACCTGCGCAATCAAGGCTGTTTATCGCGCGCATCCCGCCCTCCGCCAAATTGTGTTATCATTTCTTGTCGTCAACATGCCTCCTGAGGATGTTGCCTCCGCTGTGAGGATAAGAAAAGTCCGCACTTTCATTGGTAATTAACTCAACTTCTTAGCCTTCATCACCATGGCTCTTGGATCGTCTTCTAACAGGATCATGGGTATAGATTTTGCCGCTACACTTCAAACCCAACTCTCTGGCCCCCTCGACGCTGGCGATACCGAATTACTCATCGCGGACACGGGCCATCATATTCAGAAGATTCACAATGCAACCCAGTCAGGCTCAAGCAGCCCTTTGCCCCCAGATTTGGCCAAGGATGCTGAACGGAAAGGGCGCAATCTGTGGAATCTTTGCGTAAGACTGAAAAGAGAGCAAGATGCGGCTAAACCAGCGGAGAGCACCAAACTAGTCGTCAAGGCTCGGTCTTTTGCCTTCTTCATGCTGCAGCTGGGCCGAAGTGCAGGCAGAGCCAAGAAGGACGACCCATCTGAAGCTGTGCATCTTATGGATCTGGCCTTGGCACTGGGCAAGGTTTGCATCGGTGCATTAGATTTGGATCTGGCTAGGTTGGCGCTGCAAAAAGCGGCAGAGCTGATAGAATATCTGAAAGCAATCCCTCTTGACTCTTTGGATTCCATTGGACAGAATGAACGGACAAGACTTGACGCAGAATATTTGGCAATAAGGACAGCCATAGTATGTATCTGCCCTAAACCATACTTTTGGGATCCTTCTCTGACAAGTTGGAGAGTCTTGGAAAGAAGATAGGCTTGACGTTGCAGAGCACATGTTTGGAAAAATCGATCTTCTTCGACCAGCACTCAATGTTCGCTCTGCAGAGCTTATAGCTGATACGTTTCAGCACATTGGGTATGGTCTTGCTTCAAAAGGAGACTACGGTATGGCTGTGAAATGGTTCAAGCGCGCCTACGATCTTATAAGTCTCCAAGCGCTAGATCAGCTTTCGGTCAAAGGGCTGGAGTTGCGATTGGCCATTTGCCAGGGACTTGTACGCGGGCTTCTGGATATCGGCTCACAGGAATGTTTTCAAGAAGCCAATAGACTGATTGAATATATCGAGTCAGAGGTTGGGGACAAGCCGCTAGTACTGCACTGGCGCCTTGAGCTTCTTCAGAGAGCTCCGGGAGAAGTTTTTGACACCGAAGCCTACTCTAGTATACTATATCGAATGATACGTTCATTCGACTACTCTGATGCGTCTTTCGCCTTTCTCTTGCATCACATCAAGAGTTTGAGAGAAAGAAACCATCGCCTGGCGCGCGGTCTACTGGATGAACTTTTGCTGCGGCACGTCATTGCATCAAAGAATAGCGACTGGGTGGGTAAAACTCTCGTGCGAAGGATATGGATGAGTACAATTGATGATACCAATTCCATCTCAGCCTTGACTGATCTTCACAATCTATTAGACAAGGCTTGCGATGGTCTTTCTGAGCCCCTGGAGCCTGACATCGCTGGTGCAGCGCACTCGGTGAGTTGAAGCTCAAAATACTCGTGTATAGTCCATGATCTGTGCTAATGGGCTAAAAGGTCATATGGAATAAAATAGAGTCTGTTGTTTCCGACAACCTTTTTGAAGTTGTTGAGGCTTGGTGCTCGATCGCCTTGCACACAATATTCACGAATAGTGGTGAAGCCAACCAAGGCAAATTTAGCAGAAAGCTCATCACTTGTGCTCTGAATCTCAATGATACAGGAAAAGCTCGACAAGTTTTTCAGTCCATGTCTGATAATGTTAAAAACCATTTTCTCACGAGATACCTTACATTCAAGATATCCCTCATTGACCAGGACCATGACCTTGGCTGTGAAAGCATCCGGCATCTCAGTAAACTCTCCAATGCTTCAGAAGGTCGGGACATATTATATGCATGTATCCGAGAGGCACAGCTAGCAGGAGACAGGCAGTGTGCTCTGGCAGCACTGCAAGCCATTATCAGAAGTTGGAAAGACGATGAAGCAACACCGAGCAATCTGCCATCGATATTACGATGTTCAATACGCCTCATCCAGGCAATTGAAGAGAACAATACGAATGAAATCCATCCTAAGAACACGGTATATGCTGACGATTTATGCTGCTTATTTGAGAAAGGTATTTGCTCACTTACATCGCGTAAAGGCGTTTGCTGACGTTTCGGATGTAGCTGCTGAATGCGCTGAGCGGAATCCTCAAGACGGCGATGGCAAATTGTTTACTGTGTTTGAGTTACACTGGTTTCGGAAAAATGCATACAACTTGGGTGTCCTAAAGTGCGAAACCTGGAATATTGTTCATACCATCCGCATTTTCAAAGCTTGCCTTGCATTCTCATGCTTGTATCCCATGGACTTCTCCGCATCTGACGACAGTGAGATAACAATAATGGCGATTCGTTGTCACTTCATTATCTCATCGGCGCTTATATCCCTAGCTCGGACAGAAGACAAGACAAACGAGCATTTGCAACACTATCTTGAAGCTAGACAGCACATTAGAAAATTCGATGCCATGCTAGAGACCAAGCCCGATACGACTCAGGGGGAAAGCGTCATGAAAGATTTGATCGCCAAACTCTCCACATTGCTTGTATTTGATGTTGAAGCGGCCACTGTGCTAAAGGACTGGGATGGTTTAAACGAAACCGTTCGAAAAGCAAAAATATGTCAAGATGAAGTCACTTATAAAGCAATGGGGGACTGTATACTGAGAAGCAAAGCTCCGGGCAAAGGTCAGCATGCGGATAAAGTCTACCATGTCGCATCTTGGGTTAAAAAAACTAACTCTGTATGTCTTTAGTAATGTTTTCGACTATGCAACTGATAATCAATGAGATTTTTGAGTTGGAAAAGTTTGATTATGAGAAACTCATGAAATACATCCGTTGCATGTTTCAGGTGATTCTGGGAACGGACGATAATTCGGCTCTCCAGCTTGTTGACCAAGCTTTGCAGATAGCGGGAGAGGCGAACGAGGTACGCTTCTCTACATACGGAGACGTCCCGGGCAGTTGTGCAGCACTTGCTAACCTTTTTACAGATTGGAAATACGCTCCCGTCGGCCGAAATAGAATGGCTTGTCGCTACGACTTTTAATCACGGAATCGAATATTACGTCCGAGGAGAATCAGACTCGTGCCATTGCTGGGCGATCAAGGCCATGGATCTAGCCAACTATGTTGACGATGGAGGTGTGATGAGAGACATGCTGCTTGATAAATTTTCTCAGTTGCAACTTGACGGGAGAACTAGGTGAAGCGCGATGGTGGTATTTCGATGAGGCTTTGTATGCTCTTTTTATATACGCCGTATGCTTAGAAACTTAGATAAACCATGGCTAAAGCGCCTATCAGAGATGATTTACACAATGACAATCGATGGTGATGATTATTCGCGGAAAAGGGTGAGATGAGCATGAGAGCGTACATAAGGGTGACATTATCTTGCTATCGAATAATCGAATAGGTATCAGTCGATATTATACAGGCCATTATATCATATGCGTTGTTGAAAAAGAAGCCCTCATTACACACAAGACAAGTGCACTACACGCTTTCATCATAAAAAAAAAATAAAAAAAAATAGAGACAGAGAAGCAAGAAAAAGAAGGCTGGAAAAGGGGGTTAAAGCACACAAAACAAGCCCTCGTGGTATCTCCTACTCTTGCGTCCGTGATCGACAACGTAACCAGTAATTAAAAAAAAAAAAAGGCAGAGTTGGTATATGTGTATATGAAAGGCAAAGGACAAAAAACAAAAGAAAAAGAAAAAAAAAATTCTCTCTTGCAAAATTCCGTGTGTAGTAAACAGATAGAATTCGAGAAAGAAAAAAAAGGCAATGCAATCGCCACATCTTTGGGTATGCGTGAGAGTAGATTGGTATCAAATGTCGTCCCTGCGACCACTTTTTTTTATTTTCCAAAGTCCAACAGGTGTGGAACAATTCCAAGGTTTCAAAAGAAAAGGGGGGAAAAAAAATAAGCCAGTCGTGATTTCCCCTGTCCCCCCCTTTTTTTTACCCAAGAGAAAGTCGCAAAATAAAGGACAAAAAAACACAATGGAATAAGAAAAAAATACAGATAATGAAAAATAAAGTAAAGTTGAACGGCGTGTCGTCTTAGGTTTCGTGTATCATTTCCCAAATTCCCATCGGTCTTTTTTGTCATCATATGATATTCGCAATGCTTAGTCTGTCTCTGCCTGCTGGACTGGCAGTCGGTCTCGATGGTTCGTTACCATACTTTGGCACTTCTGAAGTATATCGAGGGGCATCTGATAGCCGTTGCATAGCAGGCATAGCAGGCATAGCAGGCATAGCAGGCATACTCGGCGCTGGGGATTCTCTCTTCACCTGAGGAGGTGGGAGAGTTGCCCAATTGCTCATGGCATGAGCAGTCGTCCCTAATGCTCGAACCGCCGTCTCCAGCTGAGACCATCCTCCCCAATCCCTGCGCTCTTCGTCACTCAGCCCAGTTCTCATTACTGAACTAAAAAGGGCGTGTCCAAGCCCTCCGGATGGAACGGCATCGGTCTTGGGGGGCGGATAATCGCGATCGTGCCCTTCGTTCCAAACCCAGGATCTTGAAGGTGAAGCATGAAGGTCGGCGGAGACATAAGCTATGAGCTCTTCATCTCTAGCCAACGATACCAAAAGGGTTGATGGATCGACCGGAGATCTCGCAGAAGAAAAGGCATGGGGTGAGGTTGTTCTTGCAATGTGGCTTGAGTACTCGGCTCGCTTGACACTCAAAGTAGAGGCAAAAAATGAAAGGTATCTCCCACAAGCAGTGGTAATATCGCGTCTGGCATCTATAGCCGCCAAAGCTCGAATGCAGGTGATGGCATGGTCCAGATATCCCGTCAATAGCAAAAACAGAGTAGAGCGAAAGATGTGAGTTGTTAAAAGAGCGGTGGCACCATCAGCAGGAGAGCCCGTTCGGTTAATCAGCGACGCGGTGTCTATCGCAATGTGCATGCAGCTTTCAATAGCGGCAAGGCGAGTATCGACGTCGCAGTTGGGATTCAAATTATGACGGTGAAGAAGCAGCCGCGCGTGGAACAAATAAGTAAGAGGTGCCAAGAAGTGAGGCGCCAAAGCCACTGTGCTCGCCGGATCACAAGCCGGGGGGAAAGTGTTGAGGCACTTTTTGAAATGCGCGTCAAAATTCGCAAGCTGTACAGGCGATATTGTGGGAGAATCAGTCGCTTTCACGATGGACGTGTAAGACCGCACAACATGAATAACAGCTAGAAGAGAATGAGTTAGCGGTTCGGCCCCGGTGGGAACTCTCATTCCGTCGTCTCGAATATATTGGTCGTCCACAGCAGCCGGCAGATCCACGCCGCAATCTGCATCATCGATAAGGAATGGATGGCCCATCTCGGTGGCCAAGACTCTGTCTAGAATGTAAATCGCCCACCATGTTCTACGTCGCATTTCTCCTTCAACCACGGGCCAAGTTTCCGAATCGAAATACAGGCCTAGATCCTGACCAACACGCACAGCATTGCCCAGCCAATTCCACGCCGCAGATTTCAGATTCATTTCGTTGAGGCAGATTGTTATGAGGATAAGAGCTCTGGCGTCATCGAGGGTGTGGTGATTGCACCAGGGATCTATTGCTTTGCGTGCCGATTCCAATAGCTCGGCAGGTCGGTAAAAGGTAACAGGAGTCGCAGGCAATTCGCTTGTAAACAAGCTGCCGGTTGCCAAAACGGCAAAGAATAAACACAAGAAGCCCGGTGGCATACGGGGTGGGCTTGCTCTGTACAAATCATCAACCATGGATTTGAAGGTGGGTAGATGAATGATGGGAAACATGGTATGCGCCGAACCATAATACGTGTTTAGCAGCTGGTCAGCAACCTGACGGGAGGGCAATTCCGGCGCAGGAGCATCAAACACAGCTGGTGCTGGCAGGCGGTGCTGCGCCGGAGGTTTCCAAACGCCTTTTGAGAAGCTTCGCAGGTTTGTTCTCGCCAGAGCAAGGTCGGGGACTGGTTGAGGCCTCTTGCGTGATCTGCTCTCAGACTCGATGGGAGGCGGCATCTGGGAAGAGGATCGCTCTCTTGATTCGACATCGACGTCCATGGAGCCATCTCTCTCCTGCAGCAGCCGACGGAGGTTGTTGTTGTCGCGCCGGACCTTTTCGATTTGTTTCTCCAAATCCTGTACCTGCTTGATAGACGACATTCTCCGGTTTGTTTCCTTGGTGAACTGGCATTTGACATTTCGACTGGAGCATTCGGAGCAACTCGTCGTCTCAGTCGCATCACACTTGACTTTTCTCTCTCGACATGCGTCGCAGCTGGGGTCTTTCCGTCTTTGACGGTAAGCCCTCTTTTGCCCTTGCACGCCCGAAGTGCCTGACAGGTGAGAGCCCCCAAGGCCTTGACTACTTACTAGAGAGTCGGTAGAAGCAACCGATTCACGACCCATGATGGACGTTGGCGGCATGGGCGCATAAGGCGGAAAGCCCTGGTTCACGGGAGGCAAAGTCGGGATGCCCAGGGGCTGAGGCGGTGTCGGGTTTGGTCTTCCCGCTGCGCTCAGCATGCTTCCAAGATACCTCGATGGAGGCCGAGGCGATGTTGCAGATGAGACAGAAGACGAGTCGTATGACCTGGTCGAAGGATTGGGAGATCGTGGATAAGGATTGTGCGACGTTTCTGCCATGGTTTCGTTTGTTTATTTTGATCAAATGGCTCCCCCCAAAAAAAATACCAAGACACCAGCCTGCAGCGTGGATATACACGCCCGTCGTTGAATTACTGATGCAAAATTAAGTTTGGTGCTGTGTTAGGCAGTTGAGTGACCCAACCGATCTGGCCCTCGGCACTAACGGAAGGGAACTCCGCGTCCCGTATTCGAAGGCGCCTGTATTACGCCAGCCGTCGATGTCTTCTAGAACCAAATGGCGCTGCTCTGCCGGCGGCGCTGAGTTTCGAGAACGAGGTGGCTGAGAAAAAAAAAGAACCGAGAACCAAAGCCAAAGGGGAGAAGGCAAAAGCAAAGAAAACAAGGCTAGCCAGAGAAGAACGGCTGCCTCAAGATGCCAGCTATCGATGCGGGTTGAGCAAATCTGCACGGCGCCTCAGCCAGCTCCGGCCTCGTCTTGTCCTGTCTTGCGATGTAGAGGCGAAATCTCTACCCAAGTTCAGTTGCGGCGCTGCAGTTGAAATACTCAGCTCGAGGAATCCACGGCAGCCTTCCCGTCTAGTGAAGCTGTCGCAAGGATCGCAAGCCGGCATCTGACATGTGCAAATTGGGACACGGCGGCGGTTACGCGGTCTGCGCTCAGCAACTGGAACAAACAGCGCAATAGTAGCAGAAGTAGGAGTGGTAGTAGCAGCAGCAGCAGTTGCAGCAGCAGGAACAGCAGCTGGGTGCCCAGGCCCAAAAGGTGCGCCGTCGAAAGTGACAATGGGCAAAGAGTCTCGCGCCCAAGCAAGACGACTCGAGGTGGCTGGCGGGCGAATTTAAGACGGCGGCCGCTGCTGTGACTGCCGAGATGCAAGCAATGCCGCGGGAGAAGAGCCCTGGGTCTGGTATGTGAAGCAAGCAAGAGCAGCGTGGAGGAGGGGTGTGAAGGAGGCGGCGACTTGATGCAGGTATACTCTGTAGAGCACGGAGTACTAGCAGTATCGCCTCGCGGCCCCAAGCGGGTTACAGCAGCGATGTGCTTGGACAGGTATCAGGTATCAGGTATCAGATCAGGCAAAGACGTCTGCCGCCAGTGCGCTCCGTCATCCGCCGTGGCCCTCCGCCCGTTGAATCAGATTCGGAAATATATCTGGATTGGCAGACGTGGGGCTGGTAAGGCCACACCACCCTTTAGCACAAGTGCAAGTAGCAATTGACCAGTCGAGATCAGCCAAGGCTAATGTGTTTCGAGCGCCAGCTGGGCCGCTGGAGCATTGCATTGACTCCAGGGACGGCCCCCCCAGTCGTGATCAATCGGGCCTGCTACCGGGTCTCTCTCAGGTCATATGTCATGCCGCGCCGCGAACCATGGATTGCTCTTGCTCGTCAGCTTCTCTTCTTCTTGTCATAATTTCCGATGGCTCGGCTGGTGAGGGCTGGAAGTGAGAGTCAGTGTCGCGAGACAGCTGTGCGTGTTGCAGCGTAAACATTGACACACGCACACACAAACACACAGACGCATCCGAAAAAAGAGAGGCCAAGGCAGTTAGTTGATCGAGAGGTGCATGTCCTCCGATGCCCAGATACCTATACCCTTGAAACTTGAACCGCCGCCTGGATCGCCCTCAGCCGTGGCTGCATGTAGGTACTTGCCGCAGACGAAGAGCCAAGTTTGTTGTGCCCATTATGCCCATACTACGGAATCCTCACAGCGTCTTGCAATGTTTGACAAACGGCGAATCCGATCCGACGGCCAACCCCACCCATAGATAATCACGTTGGCCGTCACTGGTACATACAGTATTCCGTAACCCCTACTCCATGCGCACAGAAGCGAGGTGAAAATGAACGAGCCACACAAACTAGGTACCTCGCAATGATGGTGATACAGTACCTGCTAATACGGCGCGCGTCGTCCCATCTACGGACCGCACAAGCCTGTATCAACGCGCATTTGGCCATGCATTCGGCCAGGCCTGCCAAGCTTCATACGGCATGTGGCTCCCTCCGGGGCCGAATCCGCCTAATTCGGGACATGATGTGCACCAGCGCTCCGTCGACAGGGCATGGTAAGCTTTTTAGCCATTTTTTTCCTCGATGCCGACTGGCTGCTGCCGCCGTCTCCAGGCAAGATTCACCATTGGGGGAAAAGGGTATTGCTCTGTACCTAGTACGGGGCACACCGCATATCCACACGTGTTTGCTTGGGCTCGCTGCACTGCACTTGGATACTTGTTCGCCGGAACATGTAGTCACTTGCA